CAAGCTCATAAGCAATGGCATGAAAAATTTGATAACTTAATGATATCAAGTGGGTACAAAGTGAATGAAAGTGACAAATGCGTTTACTATAAATCTGAGAACCACATTTGCACTATCATATGTCTTTATGTTGACGATCTACTCATATTTGGATCTAACATTCAGACCATTAATGATGTGAAATCATTGTTGTGCAACAACTTTGATATGAAAGATCTCGGAGAAGCAAATGTGATCCTTGGCATCAAGATCACGAGATCCGAACAAGGAATTTCTTTGGATCAATCACATTATGTGGAGAAGATCTTAAAGAAATATAATTACTTTGAATGTAAACCTGCATGCACACCATATGATCCAAGTGTGAAACTATTTAAGAACACTGGAGAAAGTGTCAGACAATCAGAGTATGCGAGCATCATTGGCAGTCTAAGGTATGCCACTGATTGTACTAGACCCGACATTGCATATGTCGTAGGATTGTTATGCAGGTTTACGAGTAGACCGAGTAAAGAGCACTGGAAAGCTATTGAACGAGTCATGAGGTACCTCAAAAGGACCATGGATCTCGGCCTACATTATCATAAGTTTCCTGCTGTACTAGAAGGGTACGGTGATGCAGATTGGAATACTTTGTCAGATGATTCCAAAGCTACTAGTGGCTATATATTTAGCATAGCTGGAGGAGCTGTATCTTGGAAATCAAAGAAACAAACTATTTTAGCTCAGTCCACAATGGAATCTGAGATGATAGCACTAGCCACAGCTAGTGAAGAAGCAAGTTGGTTGAGATGCTTGCTAGCTGAGATCCCTTTATGGGAAAAACCTATGCCAGCTGTGTTGATCCACTGCGATAGTACCGCGACTATTGCAAAAATTGAGAACCGTTATTATAACGGTAAAAGACGTCAAATAAGAAGGAAGCACAACACTGTTAGAGACTGTATCTCTAAAGGAGCTGTAAGAGTGGATCATATACGCACTGATGGAAATTTAGCAGATCCTTTGACGAAAGGATTAACTAGAGAGAAAGTCCATAATACATCCAAAAGGATGGGACTAATGCCTATAAAGAAATGAGTTGCTCATAATGGTAACCCGACCTAGATGACTGGAGATCCCAAGAAATAGGTTCAATGGGTAATAACAAGTTATGAGTAATATGAGATGATCATGCAAGTAAAGCATGAATCCTGAAGTAATAAGAGGATGAGATAATATAAACTCTTAATGAGATCTATACTCTGTATGAGGGAGTACCTAGGCCACAGGAGTACTCTTGATAGACTCACCTATGTGACTGTGGAACTTAGGCCGGTTCCTATGGAATTACGAGGCAGGATTCCTAGAGCCTTCACTAAACCGGGATATACGTGCAGGGCCATTAAAGCACGGGCTATTAGAATACACCTTAAGAAAAGGTTGTGTGCGGGTCTGATGTCTGAGATAGAGTTCAAGACAATAGTGTCACTCTTGTTGAATCAGAATTCTACTTGCTACGCAAAGGTTCAAGTCGTAGACACCTTTGCTTATGCACAATCTTAGAAACGTTTGACGTACTTCTAAAAATCACCTTTTAAATTCAAGTGGGGGATTGTTGGAAATCTTGGTATGATGTAAACTTGGAGTGGGAGTTGGAATAATTTATTGACATTAAATGGGCAATAAATGAGCACAAGTAAGAACTAGCATGGAAGTGAATTTGAAAAGATTCATTTTAGTCCCGAAAGAGTGGAAATTAATTAATATTAATATTATTATTAATTAATTAATAGATGGTGATGTGTCATGCACAAAAGACCAAGTCTTAACCTAATTATTGACTGGTTTTTGCTTGCCCTCCAAGAGACCAAGTCTTAACCTAATTATTCACTGGTTATTGACTGGGCCAATTCCACCTCTCCCACGATTTTCTCCCACTAGACCTGTTCCATTCAGTTGGACCTTTTCACTTATAAATTAAGTTGTTTCGGTTCATTTGGGCAGTTCCAGTATTTACTTCTACAATTCTTCTCTCTTCTCTCTCATCACTCACTTCATCTATAATTTTCTTCTCTCTTATTTTCGACTGGATCACTTCGTATCCAGATACTAAGACTGGTTAATTACCATCCGAAGGTGTCATTCTACGAACGACTAATTATAGTGCAAGTAATTGTCGTAATTGAACGGGCTGTTTTATCCTGGAGGCGTCGTCGAAACTCGACTGCTTTGCATTAATATTGGCAGTACGACGAAACGTCTTAAAAAAAGCGACCTAGTACGCGACTCGTCCCGATACTTTTCCTTTATGCTATTTTTTTAAAATCCGGTTTCTACAATATTGTTGTTGAATGTTCAGTCCATTAGAGGTGACATGATGAGAGGCACTGAATCTACCAACTGGAAGATGAAGCTACATCAGAGTTGAGGTAGAGAGCTTGAGGTTTTGGCGGAGGTGTCACTAGATTGGGACATGGAAGGATAAGGAGCATGATGTTGTGGTCCAAAGAAGCTCCAAGAAAGGTAAGGCCATGACATAGGTGCAAAGTAGGCCCGTGGAATTGGAGTTTTTGACTGAGATCCACTTTGCGATGACCAAGGAGGGGTAAAATTAGGGTAAACATACAAGTCATCCGGGGGAATGGATGGAACATAGTCTTTCTTTAACCTGTGATAACAGATTCAAGCATTATGACCATATTTCTTGCAAACTTGACACTAAATGAAGTTTCCACGGCCACCACGACCACCTTGAGAGGGGAAGGAGGACAAAATAGTGTTGTCAGACTAATGACTAAGGAGTGGATTGAGTCAAGTTTACCCGAGGAGAAGTTGGAGTAGGTGTAGTATTGGACAGAACAGATGAAATGGTGAGATTTACACTAGCAAAAGAAATTGTTTGTTTATGAAAATGATCAAGACACGTTTCATGACAGAGAAGAAGCGTCTCAACTTCCTCAATTGACACAAATCCAAACTTGCCAGTGATAATGTTGATCGGGATTCGAAGTCCTGAGTAAGGACCTTTGAGAATTACATCCAAGTATTCGCGTGCAAAATTGGTTCGCCAATGGTATTGATTGATCCAATTAGGGTTTGAATATGAAGGATTCCAAAATAGAATTCTTATAGTTTACAAGACACATTTGACGTAGTTCAGATCGAAGTTGGCAGACATTTGGAAGTAAGTATGAATTTTATCCCATAGCAACCATGAAAACTTGCATACAATGATACGCGTGAGCATTTTGTGAGAGATTGTGTATTGCAACCACGCAAGTAGGATCTAGTCTTGTACTTCCCAAGCTTCATGCAGGGAAAGACGATTGCAATTTGCATCATCTAGCGTGAGGAATTTAACTGGAATTGAAGGATTTAGAAGAAAGTGGTGGAGTTTTTCAACTTTTATCACAGGCTCCACTTGCTGACACCATAGAAGACAATTCTCTAAATCGAACTTCTCAGAGATTGCAGAAAGCCACTGTTTACTAATTGGAGAAGATAAACCAATGCACATAATTGGTGATGGAGGCTCAGGTGGACCAGAGGCTTCAGAAACAAAAGTTACTTCTACTGATACCATGTTAGAAATGCATAGAATTCATAAATGGTTGAGAGAATTCTCAACTTAATTTCCATTCAGATTTGTATATTATGATTGTTAATCTGAATTACAAATTTACATGAGATTAGTTATATTTATTGATCAAGAGATCTAACTAGTAGGCATTAGTTACACCTAGTAGGGAGACTATGCAGTAAGTGCAAAGTAGTTACAGTGGTGTGGCTATCTAGATTATTCTAGAACTTTTTAAAGCCCTTAATACATCCACACTTCCCAATTGCTGTAAATTCTTTCTCTCTTCAAAAGGGTTATCCTTGTGCCTTCCGTCATATCTTTCCATCAAAGCTTGATTCAGCTTCAACCAAGTCAACTCGTCCTCTGTCTCACACAACAAGTTGAACCACTGAATTGTTGCGCCTTCATACTCATTTTAGCAAATCAGATCTTCACCTCTTCCGATGTACCTTGAACTTCGAGATACGCTTCTGCACAAGTAATCCACCCCATCAGATATTCACTGTCGAATGATGGTAACTCTACCATCTTCACCGCCACACAGAAAAGTAGATGAATGAGATAACGTTTTGTGATAGTATTTGATGGAAAAGAGTAGTTACATTGAAGACAAATCCAGAGCAATGCTCCTACAGAGAATATATCCTTCTATCTCAATTGTAACAATAAAGGCACATACCCATTCTACACTACACTTCTCGCTATATCTCTCTCTACTACCAGAATTTCCTAGATTTCAGAGATATTTCCAGCCATGTCACTAACTAACTAAATTAGACTATAGGCATCAACAGAACTTTAATTATAAACTATATTTTTTTATACATAATCACAAATTCAACATGGTATCTAGATCCACGTTTAATCCTCCTTGAATCGTCTCTGCACTATTCTACTGTAGAGTTCCCTAACGGTTCGAAATATATTAATAGTTTTTTCGTTTTTCCAAACAAGGTTTGAAATATAGTTCTTTTGTCTTTGGATTCATCCATCATCAAGGTTAAATGTAGTTTATTTTTCAGTCTGGATATGGGATGTCCAACAAACACTTTCGTCTGAAAACAATTATGGGGTTGTTATTGCTTTCAGTGAAACTTCAAAAGTCGTGTCTGACAATACCATGATCCCATCATCAGATTCTCTAGAGTCAGATTGATCAGTCCCTGAATACACGTGTTTTTCTGCTGCAGTCAGTCCAGCTGGGCACTGTGCTACTATTCTACAAGCTTCTTGGTGCTTTGTTATTGTCTTGTTAGTGTGCATTATTTTCTAGTCGGTGAAGCACATCTTTTTCTTTCAAGTTTTGTTCGTTAACATCCTCTCTGTCAATTATGTGGTCATATGTAAAGTCTTGCTATCAGTTTCAAGGTGTTTGTTAATGATTTGTCCATGTGACTCTCGTTACAGTGTCATCCAACTTGTCTCAATTTGATCTCTAATGGTAATCTCTTAGTCATTGATTTTGTTGATATATATATATATATATATATATATATATATATATATATATATATATATATATATATATATATATATATATATATATATATATATATATATATATATATATATATATATATATATATATATATATATATATATATATATATATATATATATATATATATATATATATATCTCACATCGACTATATCATAGTATTAGTTGTAATCTCTCTATATATAATAAAGTCTTCGTAGTGCTTTTCAAAACACACGGTTTAACCTAAATGTCTCTTAGTCTCTCCTAATTCGATATGGTATCAGAGTCATGGTCTTAAACAATCTCCGAGAGATTGGTTTCGCAGATTCAGCATTGTAGTACAACAATTTGGTATGGTCCATAGTGAAGCTGACCATTCCGTCTTTTATCGTCACTCAGCCCAAGGGTGTATTTATCTTATTGTGTATGTAGATGATATTGTCATAACTGGTAGTGATGAGCAGGGAATACTCCAGTTGAAACAACATCTCTCGAATCAATTTCAGACAAAAGATCTTGGTAAACTCCGATATTTCTTGGGTATTGAGGTAGCCAAATCTAAAGATGGTTTGGTGATTTCTCAGCAGAAATATGCTATGAATATTTTGGAAGAAACAGGTTTGTTGAACGCTAAACCAGCCGATACTCCTATTGATCCAAGTGTCAAACTACTACCCAATCAGGGGGAGCCTTTATCAGCCTCGGGAAGATATAGAATATTGATTGGAAAGTTGAATTATCTCAGTCACTCGTCCAAACATTTCTTTTGCAGTCAGTGTGGTAAGTCAGTTCCTAAATTCCCCTTGTCAGAAACACATGGATGCTGTTTTCCGGATTCTGAGATACATCAAATGTGCTCCAGGAAAAGGTTTAATGTATAAAGATAAATGACATACTCAGATAGTTGGATACTCCGATGCTGATTGGGCAGGGTCACCAATTGATAGACGATCCATCTCTGGGTATTGTGTACTTGTTGGAGGAAATCTTATATCTTGGAAAAGCAAGAAACAAAATGTAGTTGCAAGATCAAGCGCCGAGGCAGAGTATAGAGCCATGGCGATGGCAACATGTGAACTTGTTTGGTTAAAACAGTTGCTCAAGGAACTTAAAATTGAAGAAGCAACACCAATGACACTTATTTATGATAATCAAGCTGCATTGCACATTGCTTCAAATCCGGTCTTCCATGAGCAGACCAAACATATTGAGATTGACTGTCACTTTGTCAGAGAGAAAATCGAGTCAGGCGACATCACCACAAGCTTTGTCAACTCGAACGATCATTGGCAGATGTGTTTACAAAATCTCTGCGAAGTCCCACATCGACTATATCATAGCATTAGTTGTAATCTCTTTATATATAATAAAGTCTCCGTAGTGCTTTTCAAAATACACGGTTTAACTTAAATGTCTCTTAATCTCTCCTAATTCAATAGATTTTAACACAGTCAATAGTCTTTGGTAGTCCCTTCGTCCAGCCAACGTCAAGGTTGAGTTGTTGGCAACTTGGCACTAGTCACTAGTCACTGATGACATGTCCCATATAAACTGTTTTATCTTTGATTGTCCCGATGCCTTACCATCGTCAAAGTTGAATTGCCGCCACATTCACTCTTAAGTTGGTTATTTCAAGTGAATGACAACACCTGACCCAATATCGTTGCAGTTTGATTGGATGCACTTTGTGAAAGTTCATTGTGGTTCTAATACTAATTAGTTTGACTTTGTCTTTCAAAGGGTATATTTGTAACAAGCTTAAAGCTTAAGAAACATTAGCTTGATGGGGGAGTGGTAGCATATTATAAAATATTTTATAATATCGTTTGTTTTTATTCAGATTATTTTAGAGTATCTTATCAGATTTGATACTAGTTATTCTTATCATGATTTCTTAATTTGAGATGGAGTCTATGTATCCCTATAAATAGGGGTAGTATTTATAGTCTTTTGTATCAAGTCAATAGTTATTATCAATAATATTTTTCTTTCATTTTTTATACAATCACAAATTCAACAATATTATTTGACATATGATTTGGTTTTGTTTTGATATCTGATTATTTCCTTGAATTTTAATAGGGAGATCCTGTATGGGCCATCAGTTCTGACACAGTCAACTCTCTTGTTGGTCTTTCTCTCAATTTCTTTTTCATCTTGCCTTTCACGAATGTTGGTATGTTTGTATTTTGCTCTATAAACCTAATAAATAATGTTTAAGTTGATTTCAGTTGTTTTTGTGACAGATCATTTGAATGTCAGCTAAGAATAACTGACAGGCTCATGATTTTACCTTATCTTCCATTATTTTTATATTTGTCAATCAATTGATTTTTTCCCACCGTTTTTCTTGAGATCATCACACATGGCAAGAGTCGTTGCTTGGTATTCCACCTCTACATTATATCTAGCCACAATGTTCTGCTTCTTGCTCTTTAAAGGGGTAACATTTCCTCCAAGGAGAACACAATAACTAAAAGTTGAGTCTTTCATTTGGTCATTCAGCATAATCCCCATCGGTATATGCGATACCCCCACTAATATAATCACATTAACAAACCTATTAAGTGCGTGTTTGGAAATGTGGTGGGCCACCGCCACCATACGTGTAAGCCTCTCCACCGTGATTTTCAGAAGCTACTATTGGTAGATTTTACAAACCGCACGGTATTGCCGTGATTTTTACGTATTTCCAAACATAGGCTAAACTTGTTATGAGTTTTGAGAACTATGGAGACTATATACATTGTTCTGGTTTTGAAGAAATTATTAAGGTATATCCTTGCACTTCAATGATTTTTTTACTGACGGTTTTGGCAGAGTAGTTGGCATTCGTCTGATCGATGCCCCAGTTCTTCATCCTGTAAGTGTCACTATACAAAGTAAAATATGATTGGCACCAATACACCCCTTTTTTCTGTACCCTGATGTTGGAAACTTTTCTGGCTTCAGATGTCAGAAGGACTATTCAACTTTGTGATTGGCTGGACATTCATGTTTGCCCCATTGCTATTCACAGATCAAAAGAGAGACAGATACAAGGGGTCTCTTGATGTACTCTGGGGCTTGCAAATGTTCCTCACAAATAGTATGTTTCATAGAACTCTTGCTTGACTAGTTCTTTTGATTTGATCTCAACTTATTTTTCCTTTATATGTCAGAGTTGTCATCAGCAGTGCTATAGAGTAGCGGATATTTTACAAACTGCTATTGTTCAGCCATACGCTATTTACGCAAAGTTTGTCAAATAGCATCGCTATAACACTGATCAATAGAAAAATTTGAAGAAAACACTGTTTTCTGCAATTCTTGAATGACAACACTGATATATGTACATTGTAATTGTATCTCATATCGTAACTCCTCTTTGTGATGCCAGCATTTTTGATCCCATACATGGCAATCCGAATGAATAATGCTGATGATGACAGTGCTCCAATCAAAAGTTCAAAATTGAGCTCTGTTATGACAAATGGTGCTCCATTTGTTGGACTGATTGGCGGTGGTGTTTGTCTTGTATCTATAATTTGGGCTCTGTTTGGTCGAATGGATGCCAATTTTGGTGGCATAGTATACAGATGGGAGTACTTGGTTGATTATCTTGGATCAGAAAGGCTAGCTTATGCCTTCATATGGGATATATGTCTTTACACGATTTTCCAACCTTGGTTGATTGGTGACAACCTACATAATGTTCAGCAAAATAAGGTTGCGGTAGTGAAGTATCTTAGATATGTACCCGTTGTTGGCTTAATGGCCTATCTTTTTTGCTTGGAGCATAAAGAGGTATAACTTCAGTGTAGATGATTACTTTGCACTAAATAGGGCTTTTCAGTCAGCAGTGATCTATTGACACTTCTTTGAGAAACCAAACAGTTTCATGTAAGATGTATCAATTCCTAGATGGGATAAATGTATTAATGTCTCGTCATGAATTCCCTGATAGGGGTTTGTTTGGATAAATCATTTATTTTGCCCTAATGATTCGACATTTATCATCTTCATAACAAATAAAATAGGGTTCTGGCTAAGGAATAAAAGAAATGTTGAAATGAACAATTTTTAAACTTTTAAAGAATTGAATAAATAATTTTTATGATATTTCTGTAGTTAGTTCTTTAGCATGCGTCTTTAAGACACCCGCCAGCATTTATTATAAAATATTGAATTTTTTAGGACGCTTGCAAATCATACTATGTTAGTTTTGCTATGCATAGTTGATCCTAAGTTTGAATAAAAGAAGATGATTGTGCTAGGCGGTTGACTATCACTCTAAAATTTTGACAAGTCTCTATGATATGGATCAAATTAGGGGTGTTTAAATTCAAACAAATTTTTGGTTTAAAAAAACGATATAATGGATAGGCGGAGAAAGTATTTATATATTTTATTTAATGGAAAATATGATATCTTACTGAATTCTAATAGACTCGACAATAGAAAAGATGATCAAAATTATAATTATTATTGCCAGGTTAAAAAACACGAGAAAAAAGAATTGTTGAAAAAGATGAGCAAAAGTAAGGCAATTGAAGTGAGGGAAATTCTTGTAGATAGAGGGATTGAGTGACTCACCAAACTTTTAAATAAAATTCAGAGGTCAATGTAAATGTTAAATGAATGGAGAAGAAACACTTTAGTTTCAATCTATAAGAATAAGGAAAATCTACAAAATTGTGTAAATCATTGGAGATTAAACTTATGAGTTGTACCAAAAAGTTGTGAGAAAGAGTGATTGAACATAGATTAAGAAAAGAGACCCAAGTTATCGATAATGAATTTGATTTTATGTCTAGAATATCGACCATGGAAGTGGTCTATTTATTACGACGTGTGATGGAGCAATTTTGAATGGATCAATAAGACTTATACTTAATTTTCATTTATTTGGATAAGACATATGATATATTTCTTAGAGAGAGTTTGTGAAAAGCTCTAGAGAAGAAAGAAGTTAAGATTGTTTATATTTGAAATATCTAAGATATCTATGAGGGGGGTATCGACTAGTATGCGAATGAAGGGCAGAAAATAAACGATTTTCCCGTAACAATATGATTTCACCAAGATTCAGTCATAAGCCTTTAGTGTTTTATTTTAATTTTAGATGTATTCGAGAACACATCCAAGAGCTTGCACCGAGATGTATGCTTTTTGCAGATAATATAATCTTACTCGAAGAGTCGAAGAAGGATTTAAATGAGAGGTTAGAGACTTGTAGACGAGTCTAAGAAACATATGAATTTCTCTAAATTATAAGTAAGATGACGTATATGGGATGTAATATTAGTGAAAGGAGAAACATTTCAAACCTAGAGGTGAAAGCTGCAAACCATATCATACCACAAGTCACTCGGTTTAAATATCTAGGTCCATAATACAAAATGATGGAGAAATAGAAGGAGATGTAAACCATCAAATTCAAGGTGGGTGGTTAATGGAGGAGAGCCTCAGGGGTTTTATGTAACACAAAAGTACCATGCAAGCTGAAGTAAAATATTTTTAACTGAACATCCTAAGACCTACAATGTTGTACGTGACAAAATGTTGGATGTTGCATAAGAATAAATTAAGTGTAGTCAAGATGAGGATGTTGCCTAAGATGTATGGTAAGAATAGATGGAATAAGATTAGTGTTCCGGGCCGACCAGAATGGCCATCGAACAACAATCCAAACAGAGCAATGATTGACTCAAAATTTCTCTGGCACAGGGAAAACTACCATACAGAAGAGTGTAGGATATCCAAGGTGATACATCTAACGACTCCCTACGCCACATGTTCAGGGAATAGAAAGTTGTTATAGCCGCTTCATTATATAAAGAATACATGCGAAGAACCCCAGGTACACAATTTCAAATTCAAATTTCATTCACTTTTCTCTTTCACATACTCACTTGAGCGTTGGAGTGCTAACCTTGCAGGTCAGTCCCTCATCTCCATATTTAAGGCTCGGGTCCACCGTTGTTCATCGCAACCACCGATTCTCCGATCAACACTGGTTCCATAATGAAACCGTGGCTCTGTTTGTGGGAATCGACTTCTGATTCCCGTGTTTTCCACAATTACACGTTCTCTCTTCAATCCATAAATTTAAAGCCTCCACAACTTATCAGATCTATTATTCTCGATCTAGTCGAGCAATAGATGAACTTTGATATTCAAATTTTCCAGAGTCCTGACCTCCAAACCCTCCAGTGATGGGTGGATCTAAAGTTACTCGTTCCACAGACTTACACAAAGCATCCACCACTGCTATTGTAGCTCAAGGCATAAACTACATCCTCCTCCTCCTCCTCCTCAAGGAAATACACATCAAGTTATGGTAGACACTTTGTTGCACTTAGATCTACTCAAGCCTCTTTATATCTCATGATCTACTCCATTACCTCTACTCAGAACTCTGGTACAACCACCAACTTCACGGTCTGAAACATTTCATGGTTCCCAATTGCTACAAGCTGTGAGTGCAACTTCACCATTAGATGTTTTGCATGATGTCAAAACTAGGAAAACTTAGCATTTTTATATATTGGAAGATATCTCAATGTCATGTTGTTAGACGAAGGCAACACATCTAGAGGGGGGTGAATAGATACCCCTTTTGAATTTTATACAAAAATCTGATTTTTAAAATTATTTTATCAAAGAGCGACACATAAGCTTTTTTAGAAGTGTCGTCTATACGAACGTTATTGGAAACTCAGATATGCAAGCTGTAACAAGAAATTCAATATGGAATAAGAACAATAAATTGAATTAATATACTTAAATCACTTAACAACTTATTTAACATTTATCTCAAATTACTAGTAAAGCTATTTTAAATCTCAATATTAAAAAGAACTAGTTGAATCAATTTATCAAACACTTGGTGTGCAAGTGAATTCTCAGATTTTTTTTGATTGTGTTGATACACAAAACCACTTATAATCAAAAGTGATTATAAGCTATATCAACACTTGATTTACAATAAAAAATAGTTCAAAAAATTCTTACATTTCAAATGATAACGCAATGCTATTTGACAAATTGATAAATGAAAATCAAATCAAGTAAAAGAAAAAAAATAAAGGAGACACAAGGAGTTTGTCTTCACAGTTCCCCATTGTCGTCCTCGCGTGTGGGTACGTTTGCGCCTAATTCCAATGGAATTAGGATAATTATTACTATGCAAAATTGTTGATACAAGAGATGTGTTTAAGAGCAACTCCACAAACCCTAAGCTTGTTGTTGATTGAACCCCTTCTCCTCTATTGATCTTGAGAAAGACTAAGACACAATAGATGCAAATTGACTATCTGGATCTTGCTACTCCTTTGCGCTCTTTATATCCAAAGCTTTCACGCACCGTCAATTTCAAACTATTGCAACACAAGACTTCAATTGTAATCCACCGTTCTCGGGCTACTTTCTTTACGTTATTTCTCTCCAAAGGATCCCATGCGTTCTTTATCTCTAAAGGACTTCACTTGGCCGCAATTACCTCTCGAACGTCTTGCACGAAAACACCCAAATCAACCAATGATCTTGGAGGATAAACCCGCTATTTTTCCTGGATGAAAAACCCTACAAAGCTCAACCCAATACACAATTGGACTATATCAATCCTCGTCTAGATGACACCCCAACGGAACATCGCTACAATGTAATGTCAGTGTGTATGCATATATTAGAGGTTGAAGATGAAGAGAGAAATAGGCTAATTTTATGGTTTCACAAAGTTATGAATGATGCATGAAAGGGTATTTATAGTTTTGGAACTTTTAGGGCAAAAGGGACAAATTCAGAATAACTTTTTAACGAAGTTTGACCAAACAAACAATATGTGTCAACCTAAGTATCGTATGTGTCGACACATATGTAAGTTTTAAACTGTATGTAACGACCTTTAAAAGGCTATGTGTCGACCAAACCAAGTCATAGGCTATAGTCTTTAAAATGATAGTAAATGTGTTAACCTGAAAAGCTTATGTGTCGACACATAAAATAAGAATTTCTGAAACTTCAGAATTGCTTCAGTATGTGTTGACCTGAATGACAGCATGTGTCGACCTGAAAAACGGATATGTGGATACATGCAGTAAAAAGTTATGCAGAAAATTATTTTTAATGGCTTGGATCAATTTCAAAATGATTTTTAATGATTCCTAAGACCTCTAATGCAGAGGAGTGCCACAAGACATAAGGATACCGTCTAATGTTCAGTAGTGCAAGCTTTTCTCAGTTTTGTCATCATTCAAAACATTTGACGACGAAGTTTGTACTCACATACTCCCCCTTATTGATGATGGAAAAACTTGCGACGATGTATTCTCTCTTTTTATTGAAGGCTCCCCCTGACTTTTTGCTTCCCTAATTCGACTCGCATATGCTTCTCCCCCTTTGAAAACATAAAAAAGAAAGATAACGAACTGTGAGAAGTAACATAGTTCTATGATAAGACTAATACAATAATCAGGGGCTATTTTGCATAGAAGAGCAACAAACACATATCTCCATTTATATGTGATGATGTAACATTTTAAATAGCGAGTAAGAAATATTACAACAAATGTAATGAATTTCATAAAGACTAAATAAGCAAGAAATGACAATAATGTGAAGTTGTTTGTGTAGCGTCACAGACAAGTAACGCTTCATAATGGGACTCCCGATGCCGCACATGCATGTGCATAGCATAACAACAAGAATATGTGGCTACTAAAACCAAAACGAAGACGATTTTCAAGCCATGAAACCAAGACAACGAGAAATATATATTGCAAATATCGTGCATACAAATAATTCAAGCA